AAAACTGTGTAAATAGAGCATAATTATTTTAAAAATAGGAGCTTTTGTTATTAGTCATCTAACTGTCATGGGTATACAAAGCACCCTGCTGTATAGACAAAAGACAAAAAAAAGTTACCTGTAGTGAGTTTTGCTATTGAAAGAATAAAAACTAAAGGAATAGAGTGAACTTTTGGTTCACAGACTCAAATACTGAAATGCTAAACCTGGCTAAGGGAAAATCACTTTAGCCTGATAACCGGATTACTTAGAACAAAAATAGAGAAAATTAAGAACTGAAGAGCAGAAAATTAAGGTGGAATGCAATTTAAAGAGTAAGTAGATGATGTAGGCCTTCATTTTCTTCCCCCCAAGTGTCCAGCTAATTAGAATTACAATCAAAATGAAAGAGTCTAAACTTGTAAATATCTTTAGCTAATGATTTTGTCTTTTTAATCATCCTCACATTCAAAGTCTTCTTTCATTCATTTAAGTCTTTACAATAAAATGAAATTGTTTTTCCCCTGTAAAAATCCTCCTTTTAATTTTGCTTATTGGCTTTTCATTATATCATGCATTTTCTAGTCCTTTTCTCTCATCTACTCTTTATGTATTTTTTTAACTTTTACCTTAGACAAACTTAGCAGAAGTTGAAAATTATTTAAGTGTTGTGCTTATGTTTTATCTAAAATGTGAAATGCTGATTCACATACAATATTTCTAGGCTTCCTCATAAGAATAATTACTTGTTAAAATATGTATCTTATAAAATTAATTTTCAAAAAATGTATTCAATTTTCTTACTATAAATATCTCTTTATCGAATTGCGCTTACCATCAGGAATGTTCTTTGTATTTCAAAGTAAAATCACAATTAAACAGGCACTAATCCATGCAAATTTAGCTTTGTATCTGTGTTTATATCTGAGTAGAATGCGTTATACTCCAGACTGTCCTGGAAGAAGAGTTTAGGGACTCAGGAAACCAAAAAGCACTTAGAACCAGAAGCTCGCAGCTGCAGAGCCCATTAAGTAACCAAGTGTAACACCGATAAGTTGTGCTTTGGTGTACACACCCTTGGGAGGATTGTTTCTGAGCCTAGAAGTTAGATCTGGACTATGCATAGCACCATAACCCGCTTTTCCACTTATGCCCAACTTACTCCAAATCTATTAAAATTAGCAAAATTTACTGAGTCCTTTTACACTTCCCATCTCTACTGCCACAATTCTAGTCCAAGCATCATCACTGACTAAGCAGTTGACCTAAAGATTGTCATGGCTGAGATCTAAAATCACTCCAAAAGTCCCATGTGTTTGTAAGGTAAACAGAATGCAACAAATAATGAAGAAAACCCACATATCATAATCAAGTGGGTTTCATCCTATTGATGCAGCATGGTTTGACATGTGCAAATCAATAAACATGATACATTACATAAACAGAAGGGCAAAACTCACATGATCATCTCAATACACACAGAAAAGTTTTTAATGAAACCCAACATCACTCATGATAAGAACTCTGAAGAAAATATCTATAGAAAGATTTATCTCAATCTAATAAAAACCACTTATGACAAACCTACCACCAACATAATATTGAATGGAGAGTACCTGAAAAATTTCTAAGATTTCTAACTGAAAGATTTCCTCTAAAACAAGACAAAATTGCCCACTCTCACCACTTCTGTTTAATATAGTACTCAAAACAGCCAGAGAAATAAGGCAAGAGAAATAAATAAAAGGAATACGTATAGGAAAGGAAGAAGTCAAATTATCATTATTTGCAAATGACATGATCCTTTATATAGAAGACCCAAAAAATTCCACTTCTAGAATTAATAACCAAAATTTTGTAATGTAGCAGGAAAAAAATCAATAGCATTTTTGCTTACCAATAATGTACTCACTGGAAAGAAATTAGAAAAACAATACTATCCATAATAGCATCAAGAAAAATTAAATACTTAGGCATTAAACTAACCAAGGAAGTAAAAGACCTTTACAATGAAAACTATAATATCCACAAAAAGGAGATCAAAGAAAACATAATAAGTGGAAAGATGTCCCCTATTCCTGGATATGTAGAGCCAATATTTCCAAAATAGTCAGACCGAATGGATGTACAGATTTAATGCAGTCCCCAAAAAATTCCAACACGATTCCCCACAGAACTACAGAAAACTATCTTAAAACTCCTATGGAATCAGAAGCAACCCAGAATAGCAAAACCAATCCTAGGCAACAAGAACAAAGTAGGAGGCATCACAAGCCTGGAATTCTAATTATATTACAAAGCTATAGTGATTTTAAAAAACCAGTATGATACAAGCACAAAAACTAACAAGAGGTCAGTGGAACAGAATAAAGAACGCAGAAACAATCCCAAGCACATTCAGCCGTATGTTCTATGACAAAGGGGTCAAGAACATAGGTTGGTGGAAAGGTGGTCTCTAACAAACGATACGGGAAAATTGACTAGCCACCTGCAGATTAAATCTGGAACCATATCTCTCAACATGTACTAAACTAAAATGAAAATCGATCAAGACTTAAATGGTAATTCAGAAACACTTTATCTGCTGGAGGATAAAACAGGTAAAGCTTTTGAAGATATAGGGAAGGATTTTCTGAATAGAACACCAGTTACATAAGAAATAACCGTAAGAGGGGCTGGGGATTTAGCTCAGCGGCAAAAGCGCCTGCCTGGCAAGTGCAAGGTCGTGAGTTCGGTTCCCGGTACCAGAGAAAAACCAAAAAAAAAGAAGAAATAACCGTAAGAATCAACAAATGGGATTTCTATCAAATTAAAAAACTTCTGTATAGCCACAGAAATAACCAACAGAGGTAAGACAACTGATAGAGCAGGAAAAAATTCGTCAGCTATTTATTGGACAGAGGACTAATATCTAGGATATGTAAAAAATTTAAAAATCTTAGACCCCCCCAATGAAAAGACTCAGTTAAAAAATCGGCAACTGAAATAAATACACACTTCTCAGAGAAAAAGTAGAAATAGCAAATAGATAAATGAAACAAATGTTGAAAATTACTGGCCATTAGAGAAATACAAATTAAAACTGAGATACCATCTTACTTAGAAAGAATGGCCATCATCAAAAATCAAATAACAGGGGCTGGGGATTTAGCTCAGCGGCAAAAGCGCCTGCCTCGCAAGCGCAAGGTCTGAGTTCGGTTCCCGGTACCGGAGAAAAACCAAAAAAAAAAAAAAAAAAAAATCAAATAACAGTAACTGCTGGTAAGGCTAAGGGGAAAATAGAACCTTCTACATTTTTGGTAGAAATGTGAACTAGTACAACTACTATGGAAATCAGTATGCAGACTGCTCAAAAAACTAAAATTAGAAATGCCATTTGACCCCCCTATTTCCTTCTAGGTATCTTCCTGAAAGAGTTAAAGGGAACATATTGCAATGATACATGCATGTCTATCTTTATAGCAGCACAACCCGTAACAGCTAAATCTTGGAATCAGCCTATATGTCCATCAACAGATGAGTGGATAAAGAAAATGGTATTTATACACAATGGAGTACTTTTGTCATAGAAAGGATAAGTTTAAATCATTTGAAGAAAAATGGTTATATCTTGAATCCATAATGTTAAGTGAAATAAATCAAACACACAAGCTAAATACTACACGAGAAACCTAAGAACCCACTATATTGAATAATAGAAGTCAAATAATTATTAAAAGAAAATACAATAGGAAACAGGGAAACAGAAAACTGCTGTTTTGCAAAAGGGAATAGCACCGAGAGATGGACAAAGGGCAGAAGGAAGTGGGAGGAAGGTGTGTCACGCATGCGTACAAACTCCCCTTGATGACTGTAACCACACACACTGCAAACATGTGCTAAGAAAAATAAAAATGGTTAAAAAATAAAAATAAAAAACAGGTTCAATATTAACAATTTATTAATTGGAAGTTATCCAGAACTGCCAGACTTTTTTTTTTTTTTTTTTTGAGACAGGGTCTCACTGTGCAGTTCAGGTCAGCCATGAGCTCACTTTGTAGTCCAAGCTGGTCTCAAACTCACAATGATCCTCCTGCCTCAGCCTCCCAAGCACTAGGATTACAGGCATGCGCCACCACACCCGGAAAGAATTTCCAGACTTAAAAGTTGTAAAATATCTTAAACTAGGTAAAGGTTGATATAAAAGTTAACTTTAATAGAATCCAAATAATGAAAACTTTGGTCATATATAT